GTGGATGTAAAATGGTTGATTGCCTGATCCAAGAATCCAAGGATGTAGAGATCCAAAGATCCTGGGTCTAGAGATCCAAAGATCCAGAGATCTGTGAATCCATGGATGTAGAGATACTGGGATCTGAGTATGTGTGAATGTAGACATCTGAAGATCAAAGGATCTATGGATGTAGATCTTGAGATCCAAAAATAGGAATCTGTGGACCCATAACTTTAGAGATACTAGGATCTGAGGATCTGCAGATATCAGAGATGTAGAAGTATATATGAAGATCAGAACACTGTGCACCCTAGAATAGATTAGATTTCCTAGGTCACCAGGGTTTTTTGACTAATCACCAGGTTGATAGGTACTAAACAGGTTATCCAAAGACAGGTTCTTTTTTGCCTTGTTTAACAGGTAAAATTCACCTTTTTCTCAAACACCAAATTTTACCTAGTTATTTTTACTCATTATCAAGGGGGTGGCGGAACGTGGATCCCGGATATAGGGTTAGGGGGGGGGGGCTCCGCTTGGGGGTCAAAATATTTTTTGTGACCTACTTTGCAAAAGTCCTGCCAATAAGCCAAATCGCGCTCCCCAAAGAAGTTGGGAAGTTCAGATGCACAGCAAACACTTAATCTACGTATTTACTATCCGAAATTTTGACTGAGAGCCAAAAAAAAGTCAACGAACTTTTTATAACACCATTCAGGTTTGCAAAAAGATGAATTCGAGCGCCACGAAATGTGTGAAGGTTGGCCATTCATCGAAGTTTTGGATGTGTCTGAGTTGTATGGATACTATGGGGGTGAAGCGTCGTCGCACGTAGTAACAGATCCAAAAATGTAACATACTACATACTCACTTGAGTATGTTTTTAACATAGGAACTCAGAGGTTTCCTTTTTTGGGGGGTAGGCTGAGGGTGCCTTAATTTGTAATGCGACTGTATATCTAAAATCCACGTTCCGCCACCCCCTTGCTCATTATATTTTTAACTGAAGTTAAAAAGACCATGTTGCCAAACATGAAATTCAAGAGTTTGTTACCAGGTCATTTTGACTTGTTTCTCTGGTGAATGCATTTCAATCTCATTTTTGCTATGCAGATAAGTGAGAAAAATGACATTGTATGGTATGCAATTTTGCAGAGCAAAACACCACCAATGTATATGGGTGCACTCAAATTGAGCTATATATTGTATGAGTTGCTTGACTTATAGCAATCCTTGATGGCTGAGTGGCGGACATTTCACTCAGCGTCTGACAGCACATGATGGCGAGAATGTCAGCCGGGATCCTTCGAATAGGCGACGGGGTGAAAATCACTCACAGAGATTCAAGGGGGCTTTTTTGAACGATTGAGGATATAATGGAAAATGAAGCTGTCGTTTCTTTAACGATGGAGGATGTAACAACCACTGTACCCTTTTCGTCCCTTTGAAAAGATCTCAAAGTAGGAGACAAAGTCCGCATTCTTTTGGGAGACCACGAAGGTGTTATGGGTTGGGTAGTGAATCAAGACGAGGACTATGTGTGCGTCTTCAATGACAGGACTGGTACAGAGGTAAATGTCTTGCTTTTTGTTATATTATACTTCTTCTAACATTCTGTCATCCTTTAGATAGAGGTATCTCCAGGAATTGTCCAGTTCTTCACCTCCCCCTTTGTCTTTGGAACAGAGTCCTCAGAATTGAAAGCTCCCTTCTCAGATGTGCAAAAGCATGTCATGAAGGGGGACTCTAACAGTCATCTTGTAGGAAAACAAGTAATGGTCACCAAGGGGGATTTTAGAGGTTACCGAGGCAGAATCAAAAGCACGGTTGGTGAAAAAAGGGTCTTGGTCAAGCTCGAGGCCAATGCCCACAAGTTTTTGACATTAGTTCTCTAAAAATCATGCAAGCGCTTTATCTTATTTTTTGAAATTGTTGCTAATCAGCTTCCAGCGCCAACGAAAGGCTTCAGCCACCCAGGCCTTGAGAGCTTCTCACCGATTTTACTTACCCACTCGAGCCAGCACCTCCGCCCAGTACTCTGGCAGGCTTCTTGTTCCCTGGTTACCCCTTGCCAGATCCGCAACCATCAGTCCCTTATCCTGCTGCTTTCCTTGTGCAGACTCCGGCCATTGCAGGGCCATCTACTCTGCTTCCTAACTCAGAAGATATCCCTACAACCCCAGCTTGGAACCCAAGCTCACGAACCCCCCACCGTGGCAATGATGGTAAGTATGTATTTAATTCAAAGTCAATAGATACTGAGGCTGTTATGGCAGCCACTTCTCCATATTGGCTCAGAGATGACTGCTTCACCAACATGAGGCTGAGCCTTCGTCTCATCAACACCAACCCTAATTTCCATAGGGGCGAGCACAAATATAAGTGCGGGGAGTTCAAGGGAGTAGTCGGAGATGCAGTGAGGGTCCAGCTCAGTTTCAAAATTTTGGAAGTGCCATTTCCATATTTAATACCTGAAAGGCCGGAGTGCAAATCCCAGGTTGTTACCGCATTTACTGGCCCACATAAGGGGTCGCAGTTTAGGATCAAGGAGTTTGGCACAGATTTTTGCAGCTGCTCAATTTTGAAATCAACAATGCTTTTGAGGAAGGTTGATGTCAAAATCACCACCAATCAACTGGTAGTCACCGCCCGAGACAGTCAGCAATAAATTACCTATACTGTACATATATTATAAATACCTTAGAAACTTTTTTTGTATGTTATACGCATATCTTGGTGATAATCTACATATTTTTGACCTTAATGCGAGACCTTGAGGCAAACAAACAATGACTTAATGAATAAACTTAGGATGAAATCCTTTGTTATGTATTTTTAAAACAACTTGGAAATATTGCATGTAATTTTTACATGTGACTTAGTGACACGGACCATGATCCACCCAAAGAAAAAATGACTATTTACATGACAGGTATTGCTACAGGTACCCACCAACCCCTGTCACGGGTACAGGTTTGGCAAGGGTAGTGAAGATCAAACCCGTACCCCTACCCACACATACCCTTACCCTTACCCGCATGGGTTGCGAAACCTGTGACAATCACTAATGATGATCAGAGGATACATGTCAATGCATAAATATAGAGATATGAAGATCCAAGATATCAGCAATTCTAGAAAACCACTGACAGCTGGTCAGCAAGTTAATTTCAATTCTTCAATCTCACAAAATATCACAGTAGAAACTTGGTTTAATTATGAGTAGAGTTGCAAGTAAATAATTTAACTTAGTATCAGTGTCACTAAAAGGTACCCCCAGTGTGGGTTGGCAGGTTACCTGCCAGCTTCATGTTGGGTTTTCCATCAGAGTTCGAATTGTGATCAACGCCATTCATCATGCATCATTACTGATCTCGCTTATCACCCTCCCACAGCACACCCCCAATCAACAACAGATGAACAATGACAACAATACATGACAACAATGAACAACTCATTCTTCTCCTCCACAGTGAGTGCCCATCCCCATCATTTCCATTCATTATCTAACAATCATTCCAGGTGTCCTTCCCTGTCCTCACCTCCTCCATGCCTTGGCCTTCATCTTCCTTTCAATTACTCACCCTTTGAAAACAGGCCAGGATGAACAAAAACATGCAAGTGTTTCAATCACTCTTGGTATGAAGGTCTTCAGCTCTAATTTGTTCTTTTGTTTGCTTCTCTCACCAGCTTTGTAGATCTGGTATTTCTTGTAAGGATATGATATGTCTTCAGATGGCAAAAACTGCTGCTATTAGTCAACTTCTGTTATCATTTAAATTTCTCAACTTGGTTTTCATGGATTTCTCTGAGACAACAGAAGGTTCACATTGTGGAAGCAATAAAAACTCTGCTTGGGGTGTGTGTTTCCCTCAATCACACATGCTTTGTTGAACATCCAGATAGTTCATGCTCTAACTTGGAGCCAAAGGATGGCGAGGACGCGTTGTTGAGGTCAAATTTGAGCATTGGGGTGAGGGGCCAGTGGAGGGGGAGGGGGAAGTGCTTTGGATTCAGGGAGGGACTTTCTGACTCTTCTCAGATGATATCAATCTTGTAAATACATGGGTGGGATGTTGGTGGGTGGAAAATTTGATTGAGGATGCCAGATAGAATGAGGGATGGACTTGATGAAACAAGTTGTTGTTGGTTGTTGTTGGTGTTGTCTTTTTCAATCGAAGAGATTAATGTTCCAGGCTTTGTTTATTCTGAAAATATGGAATTACATAGAAGATGTATTGGTAAACAGGAATGTCAAGTCAGAATGAATTAGTTTGGTGTGTGGCCATTACAAAACGGGAATGTCCTTAGCCTGTCCAAAGGAGTGCCAGAACACTGTACTCTTATGTTTAAGATGCTTCAAGTCATCACTATATCTCACAGATAGAATTCTGATGATATCCTTTTGATGGCAAAACAATGAAAAACAAATAAAATACCTCTTTTTTTTTTGATAGATGACTGTCAGCAGCTTCATAGAAAACAACAAACATGCAAGGAAACATGCAAGGAAGGGAATGAAGTGGGTGTGGGTCCAAGGTCTACCCATGATGAGAAGTTTAAACTTACAACTATACAAGAAAATTCTGGACCATAGCATTAACATACCCTAGGCTCTCCATCGAGATCCACCTCCATAGCAGACAGTGCATGATTGACATAGATATTCCTACACACACTGGGCACTGGTTCAGATGCAGTCAGTGGGGTAGTCACTGCAGATGCTGGTTTCTTGTCATGTTGACTATAAAGGAACCATCCACAAATGTAGCTCTGTGTTGATGGCATCATCATTCTCCTTGTCAGTGTTATCAGGCTTGTCATGGGTTAGATAGCAAGAAGAGTTCCACAGCATGCTTAGAAATTTGATTGAAGGAAACATCCTTCAAGCTTCAAATATAAGATATTTAATTTGAGGAGCATCTGGCAGTCAATGTGAGCTTTGTGTCACCTGTGAAATATGAGCAAAATTTTATAATGATACAATATGAAGCACTGAGTGAAATGGGGCCTAGACCCATACACATAAAATTAGAATGCATTGGTTCTTTAGAGCATGACTTTTATAGCTCATGTTTCCCCTCTTCTTCACTATCTACTACCCCACTGTCGCCTTTCACGCCTTGCACACCGCTTCTGGCTGTTTTGTACTAATTCATATACACATATTCCTGTATCCTTGTATCTGCATATACACATATTCTTGTATTGATGAATCCATGTATATGTGTATCTTTGTATTCATGTATCTATGTTATTCTTGTATCCACATATATGCTACGTGGATACATGAATACAGTTGAACCTCTCTTATCCCATACCTCTGAGAACCCATAACCTCTCTTATCCCCTCTGAGAACCCATAACCTCTCTTATCCCATAGCATTTTGCATCCAACAAGTTGGTTCGCAGAGAAATGCATAGCATAACCCATAAACCTCCCATACCCCATACCCCATACCCCTCCCCAGCCAAAACCCATAGGTTTTTTGTCAGACAGACCCTTCAATTGGCTGTTAAATATTTAGTTTACCAAGCACAGACATGCATGTGCTTGTCAAGTAGCCCAAAATTAAATAAAAGAAGCTTTTACTCCCAAAAATATTCCCCCTATGCCTCCCAACCCACATGACACCCTTAGAAAAGGCCTTGTGACACTATGACCAATCACACAGATATAGAAATCTATCAGAAGAGCTGCATGTGAGAATATTGAGATACTATATCTGGTCAGGATATGCAGATTCTTGACTTTTTCCTTGATCTAGCTTCAACATCATATTGTGCAGCCTAAAAAACTTACATTGAGTCTACCAGATACAATGAAGATGTGTTGCAGCCTCAGATCATTGCCAACATGAGGAGGCAAAAAAACAAGATATCCAAAGGTATGTCACAACCATGTCACTGAGGGATTTTGGTCAATGTGATAGTCTTCCAAGCACACACATTTTGTTCTCAAAATCAATTCTGATGACTTCTGCTGATCCTACTTGCCTGAAATTTTAAAGCTGTGCTTGGTGTTGGTATTAGACAGTATCTATGTAAAAAGAATTGGGAGTAAGTCTAGCACAGCAGGTGTTCCTGGCAGCCTTGTAACTACTTCAACCTATTTCCAACATTTTTTTGATGATTTTGTGCGATTTTTTCTTGTCAATTTTTAGAATCTATTTTTAACCATACCTCTATTAGCCCATAACCCATAGCTCAGGCTGTCCACTGAGGGGTATGGGTTAAGAGAGGTTTGACTGTACAACAATATGCATATATGGATACATGAATACAAGGATACATGTATACATGGATACAAGAATATGGGTATATGTGGATACATGAATAAAAGGATAGGTGTATACATGGCTACATAAATACAAGCATATGTCTGTATTACTTTCATTTTGAGTATCTACAATATTGCACCAGAAGTGCCATGATGGATACATGTATATATACAGATATTCTTGTACTATGTATACATGTATTCTTATATTTATGTATACATGTATCCTTGTATTCATGCATCTTAGCAAGAGGTGTCAGATCCACCAATCACAGCCGTCTATGCTGTTACACAAATGTGACAAGCGGCAATTTCCGTAAGTCAGCACATCAGCGGCAACAATGGTCAGCGTCTTGTCAGTGTCTCAGCAGCTTTCATACGAACATCTAATTTATTCAGAAGGTAGCTCAATAACATTTGGAAAGAGTGGTTTGAATGGGGTGTTACAGTCATTACAATTAGAACTATTACACAAAGTTAAAGGAAGTTGACGAGACATCTGTTGTAGTGTGTGTGAGATAGGATGGTTACATACCAAGTGATTTGAATTACATCTGGCTTTTTCTTGAGCGGAAGATACATATGCAACTCCTGGCCATAATTGACAAATTCATTGCATCATGAGGAAAGAGTTTGACAGGTGCCCTTGGAAGCGCCTCCGATTTTCTTGAGAGGCTGATATTCTTTGTTGTAAGTCAATTGTAAGTTGTAAACAATTGATGAGAATTTGAAAGTGAAGGGCTATGTGCAGAGAAGAAAGATTGGGGGAGTACACTATTGACATTATCAACGCACCATGTATGTCAAGAAGGATGTGTCTTTAGTGAAGGCATGTTCGTGTTATGTTGGTGAGTTTGGAAGCAAATGCCGCTGGCCTGCTGTCTACCAAACATACCATGCAAAGTGCTCCCCTACCCTCCCCATCACATCATTGACAGCCAGGATCGGCGGATCTGATGCCTCTTGCATCTTAGCTATTCTTGTATTTATGTATCCACATATATGTGTATTCTTGTATCCATGTATATGTGTATCCTTATATTCATGTATCCATGTATACACATATACTTGTATACTTGTATCTACATATACACATATGCTTGTATTCATGTATCCTTGTATCCATGCATACACGTATCCTTGTATTCACATATACACATTACACATATACATGTATCAAGTATCCTTGTATTCATGTGTTCATGTATTCATGTATCCTTGTATTCATGTATCCATGTACACATGTATCTGTAGAAATACTAAATGAGTGTTAGATAAACTCAGTGTTTGTACACATATTCTTGTATTCATGTATCCATGTACACATGTATCTGTAAAAATACTAAATGAGTGTTAGATAAACTCAGTGATAAGTATGTGCAACATTGAATCTATGCTTTTGATACTTTCACTGCATTCTCTTTGGCTGATCATCTTCAAGTGACATTTTCTGGACCTTACCATGGTGTTATGCTGCAGGATTGGACTGGGAAATTATAGTATCACATTGTTTGCACTGCTTTCTGCCATTCATTTTGAAGGCTTCAAGTGCATCAGGTGGGAGGGATGCATGGGCATGGACAAGAAGTTGATTCACAAATGAAAAGAATGAAAAAGCTACACAAGATGTTAACACTCTTGGCAATAATTCACTACCAAAATTTTGGACAACTTCTAATTGAGCAGTGTGCTTGGCTCATCTTGTTATGATACGGCTTGTAATATTTGGCGTACTCCTATGAGTATACAAGTTGTCAGTAGAAATTGAATACAAATGAATAACTATCTGGGTTACCAAAGAAGACACGAGCAGGACTGTAGGGTTCTGTAAGCCGACTTTTGTAGTCTTTTGTAGTGTATCAGTAAAATTTGTAGTCTATGTCCGACTTATGTAGTCTATCAGTAAACTTTGTAGTTGAGTCCGACTTTTTTGTAGTCTATCAGTAAACTTGGTAGTCTATATCTGACCATTCCTTTTCTAGGGCATGCACCTTCCTTTTTTGGTCATTTTTCCCACAATACAATAGTTGTAGCCCTTTCTTTTAGCTTTCTAAATATACTGAAATCATATTGTTTGGTTTTGTTTTCATGGAGAAAAATGCGAAAAACAAAAAAAAACACAACACTTTTAGGATTCCTTTACCTCATATCTCCACAACAGGAGCACTTCAGAACATAATTCGAACATATTCAGGAAGCTACAGTGTAGGGCTACAACTTTTGTTTTTTGACCATTTTTGGTAATTGGTCATGTGACCATCATCCCAACATCCCATTACATGGACCCTGATAGGTAAAATCATTCTCTGCTTGGTTTTCTTCACTTTTTGGTCAAATCAGGTGATATTTCCCTTTTGGGATGGAACCTGAAGTGGACCCTGAAGGCAGTGCCTGATGTTCTGTACACCATTTTTATATATATTCAATTTTTCTGCTATTTTCTGGCTATTTTTGGATATATTACCATATTTGGAACTGGACCCTGGACCCTGACAATGTTACCCAACATGATGATCAGCAATGAGCCCTAATTTTTCCTGATTTTATTGCCATTTTACATTTGGAAATGCACCCTGGACCCTGAAAGGTCAGCTGCCGCTAAAAATGAAATATTCATTGAAAGCGCCAGGTACACATATGAAAAGTGCAATGAAATCTCCTAGGAATAAGAATGAAATATCCATTGAAAGCGCCAGGCATCCAAATGAGAAGCACAATGAGATATCCTGGGGTTAGCAATGAAATATCCAATGAAAGTGCCAGAGATATATATGAAAAGCACAATGAAATATCCTAGGAACAAGAATGAAATATCCATTGAAAGCGCCAGGCATTCAGATGAAAAGCACAATGAAATATCCAATGAAAGCACCAGATATATATATGAAAACTCCAATGAAATGTCCTGGAGCTAAGAATGAAATATTCATTGAAAGCGCCAGGCTTTCATATGAAAAGCAAAATGAGATATCCAGAGATAATGAATGAAATATTGCAGGAAATCGCAATACAATATTCACAAGTATTAGTTACCTTACCCCACTAATACTGAGCCCCCCGACCATACAAACAGACCATAGTTGATGGTGCCTGCTGATGAGCCCATGGATCAGTTGACCCCATCAAAGGTGGACCGGCCATCAAGACTCTCTTAGGACTGGTACTGTGCATCGGCTGAGAAGTGTACCCCATGAATTGACATAGCTAAAAATGCCTTGGATCCTAGGTCAACCGATCTCTTCATGGATTGGGCTCAACATGTGTCATGGGTCAGCTGAAGAGCTCTAAATCCCATGCATTGTGGATCAGCCCACAGCCGTCTCATTTTTATTTGCCAAGTTTACCTCGGCTTTTCATTGCCGGTCATCATGCAGTTTACTGGGTCGGGTCCATCACCTACCAAGAAGCCGAGCACGGTGACATGGTCAGTCAGCTAGTACCCCATGAATTAAATATGCCTTGGATCCTGGGTCAACCCGTCTCTTCATGGAATGGGCTCATGTGTCATGNGTCTGCTGAAGAGCTTTGAATCCCATGCAGCGTGGATCAGCCCAACCTGGTCCCATCCAGTTGACACTATACGGCCGAGTTTCGTCTTCA